TCCAACTCTCTAACTTTCAAAGTCAAGAGCAACATGAAAAGGAAAAGATGCATTTGAATGAGAAGGGACTACTGACATCTGCAACAAGCTCCAGCAGACCAAGAATAGACAGAAATCATCTGAACGTGTGAAATTTCAGGAATGACTAGTTACTGTCAATGATTTAAGATGGTCCCAACGCTTTTTCCCTTCAGTGAGAATTTTAAAAAGAAGAAAAAAAAAAAACCCTCCAAAAACCAAAAGAGACTCAGGAGTGATTTACAAACAGCCCCTGACACGATCATCACCCTCACCGTACAATCCACGCTATCATCTAAGTGAAAGGGAATTTACCTCAACTATTAACTACTGTACTGCTATCACCCACAAGCAAACTACTACTAGATGCAATTTACTGAAACACACCTTTGTGTCTCAATGAGGTTAGTCACAGATGCAATTCTAAAGATGATCAAAATATCAATGCCTGGAAAGACTTTAAATGATACGGATGTCCATCTGTGCCAAGACACAATTTTCTTCTTAGGACATTCTGCAGCACTTCTATAATGTTTTGCTGTTTATTACAAAGTACTCATAAGCACTCATTTTTAAATAATCCATGTACATCTCTACATTTGAGATGAAGATAAAATCTTGTAAAATATAGTATTTAAAGATACCTGCAAAGTTGGGCAGTTACTGTTTCTCTGTATCCTCATTTTACTTTTTTAGCTGTTCTGGGATTTCTGGAGGAGGTCTGTGCTCTGTGCAATCTTATCTGGACCATCTTTAATTGCTACTGTGGAAAATTCAAATCTAAGCATTACTCTACATGTATTTTTCCCACATTACTTTACCAGTTGTTTAAAGGGGTTTATTTCCTCTCCTCTGCCATAAGTCATCAAGAAATAAAGACAACAGCATTAAACTGCCAAGTAGCAAGATTTTATTTAGAAAAAAAAAACCAACAACCAAACCTCTTAGAAAACCACCACTGTTTTATTTCCATTGCCACAAAGTAAAACAAAAGTGTGTCCAAAAATAACCATGTGAACTTTTAAAATGACAATGCATCAAATACTTCACAGTGGGTACTTTTTGTGCCAGAAAGTCCTTGAAAGAGACACCTGAAAAACAGATCATTTTTGGCTAAAAAAAGTAAGTAACCAATCGTATTTCCCCTAGTACATGCATGACTTGTTAATATTTAAAAATAAGGCTGAGCTGCGTACACCAGAAAACATATTAGATTTTTAAAGTCAGAATTATTTTAGAAATATGGGTATTAAACACAGCCTCGTGAACTCCCACAAAATACTTGACCGCTTTGGTATCTGGCAGTAGCCACTGCTATTAGTGCAGATGAACAAAACAACTAGCAACAAAGGTTTTTCATAAACTACACCCAGCCAGTGGTTGGCTCAGTTATGCCAACATTAAGCCTGTATCAGGAAAAACATACTCATGATATCAAACATTAAACTTCAAAGCTAACGCTTCCTGAGGGGGTTGTCTGGGGAAAGGGTGGGGAAAGAACAGGGAGAAGCTTGAATAGATGCACTGTAACCTGACCATGCGCAAGAACAAAACAAATTAAATGGCTAGTTAATTTTTCTCATTCCAATTAGTGTTAAAAAGCAGACCAAAGAACCGAATAAAGTTTCTAGATAGGGAAGGAATACCTGCAAGCTGTACCAAGGAGGATATATTATAATTTCTAGTAAAGACAATGAAATCCAAATTTAGAGAAGTTAAGCATGTGGACCAGAAACCTAGAGGTTTTAGCAACAGCTTGGGGGTGGGGGGAGGGAAATCACCTGGAACAACACCTGAAAGATCCACACAAAACCAGTAACAACAGAAAAAGAGAGAAATAGACAGCAAATCAGGTATGTACTTTGCAATATGCTATCTTGTGATGCAGACCTTTACCACATTGTGATTGAACCCCAAATAGGCTAGTGCTCTGAAATGTAATGGACTATTTCTCCTTGGCAAACCTGGAAATATTTCAAGCATATCTCATCTATGGCCTCAGTCTCATTCTCAAGGACTGCCAAATTCAGCTGTTTCCTGGGAGACAAAAAAATTGCACATAATCCCTAGGTCCTGATAAAGGCATCTTCTTTTTGCCATTGAGATCAATGATTTAAACAATATACTATTCTGTTTAAACTATCTCCAGAAAGTTTGACTTTACCCAAGATATAAAATACAGTAATCATGGTTCTCAGAAGTTCTGATACTTGCAATCTGACTGATATACTGCACCACCGAGCTACAGCTGTTTAAGCTCCTGTCCACAGCTGTGTCCCCTACCATTTCCAATCCTCTAGCAGGTCCTGGAAGAAGGAAACAAATACCCACAGCACTACAGCTCCAGTTCACAATCCATGTACAAACCCATCATCACCGGCAGTGTAAGTCACTGGCCCACAAACTGCAGCAGCTGAGCCACAGGCACACATACCCACTTTCTCTGTCACAGGAAAAGAGAATCTTTGGCAGGAAGGGCAGGTAAAGAACAACTGGGGTAACTAGCTTCTTAAACGACTCATGTTTGTGAGTTATGAATGACCAGAAGTCAACCATGACAGTGAAAAGAATACAATGATCACTTAGTTTAAGCTATATGGCTTACAGAAATGGAAGCTTGGGAAGTTAGTATTAGTTATACTGCTCTGTAACCTGTTTTCTTTGATTGTGCTCTTCTGAAAGCATTAAGGATCATCTTATTTATTTTTCAACATAAAGAGAAGTTCAATAATGAAATTTAGGAGCTTCTTTTACTGCTGTGCAAAGTCTGAGTGCAGGGTTTCACACAAGCAGTTTAAGATAGCAAAATGGAGAACCCCCCAGAAAACAAATTATTTAAAGTACATCATTTTAATTTCATCTTTAAAAAACAATTTTTATTTAACCTTGACCAAGATGTTATGATTCATATGATTGCAGCAACCAAGAAAACTAAATTCACGTTAACTCTAAATGCATGGTAACTTTACATGTGGTAGTTTACTGTCCTACCACAGTACAGTTACACACATGGAGGTGTATACATAATATGTGTAACTGCTCAACAGAGAAACCAGTACTGAACACATCTTTGGAAGTTACTATTTATGGGAAGTGCACGTTCTGCTTACTTAATCCAATGTTAACACGCAAGTAGAAATCAAAGAGTTTAGTAAAAGCAGCAGGTAGAAAGCTTAATTTGAGGGACTTCACAGATAAGAAATAAATGGTCAGAAGTACTAAAGGGCAGAGACAAGCCTCCGTTGCTGGGTAAGACGACAGATTCAGGGAAGGTACAGCATCACAAAGTTTCAAGTTTTATGCAAAACAAGCTAAATTTTTTTAATTAAAGAAAAAAAAACGAATGAGAAGTTCATTTAACACAAGTTTGTCAAAATTCACATTACCATAATACACAAATTGCCTCAAGCTTCAGATCAAAATAAAAAGTAACTGCCTTATTTCAATACATAATAACTCTTTTACATTATCACAATAATGTGAACTTAGGTTTGAATTTCACCTGGAGTGAAATACCTGCCACATCCTCATAAGATTCTTCAGCACCTTCATGTTCTCTCTTTCTCCCAATACCCGGAACTTCAAGCATACTTAGAAATCTAGTACTAGGTAAGCCAAAGTCTATAGTATTTTCATACAATCCAGGAGATTTACATTGCAAGATTCAGGTCTCTATCTCATCAGAAGGCAGCGCAGACTGATGACAAGAGATGCAACTGGATCAAGGTTTTTAGAATTAAAAACATTGCTTTTTTTTTTTTTTTCCCCTCCAGAGATTTCTCAAAACTTGTTGCAAAGAGAATGCTCTTAAACCCATGTTTAAGCAACTGTATGCATAGTAAAATAAGAGCTTTATATATACTCATCTGAAACGAAAAAAGAACGGTCATTTTACTAGATTTCCTGGGAAGGAAATAGCCCATGAAAAAAAAAAAAATCTAGCTGTATTTACTGAAAACAAGCTATGCTTTACATGAGTCTGTGAAATGCTATTGTATAAGAAACAAGCTTCACTATTACTGTTTAAAGTATTCATTAAACACACAGGAATATTTGAGGAGTTCCCAGAGAAAAATCTGGGACTAAGGAAAAAAACCAGGCCACTTCTTTTTCTTCTCAGATACTATATATGCAGAGTTCTTTGATAACAGATTACATTGAAGGGAAGGAGGGGTGGTGCAATGGGAAGGGGGAAAGAATCTGTTGAAAGTAACATCATAAAGTTTTTCTTCAAAAGGACCTCAACAACTTTTGAAGTAGATGAACAAACCTACTGCTTTCACAACACAACTTCAGTAAAATGGTTTTAAAAAAAATTGTAAGCTGGGTCTCAGTCTGCCCCCTCTTTACACAGAATTGTGTATACATTACACAGAATGGTATACATTACAAAGTGAATTAAAGAATTGTTCCATTTCTTATTCCCTAAGTGAAGTGATTTGGCTGTCCAATATTTTCAGTTTAAAATTCCTCTGTATGAGACAAATAATTGAAAGATTACATTATTTGTATTTTATCTTGATTACACTAAAACTTTATTATTAAAAATACGACAAATCTCACAATAGGATGGCTGTATTAAACTTTCAGAAAGCCATGCTTACCTCTTCTGTTGATATGAACTGAGGCCTATAGTTGTCTCAGTCTGTAAAAGAATAAAAAATAATTTTAAATTTGAGACACTGACAGCATTATACTTTCTACGGGGGGAAAAAAAAAAAAAAACCAACAACAAACAACTTCAAAAAACTGAGAAGAGGAAAAATGTCCAGGAAATTCTAACACTGTAGGGAGCAAAAGAAAAAAACTAGCATAGATGTAAGACCAAATTACAAAGAAAAGCATATAAACCGAATAACAGTCAAGCAATTATCTCACTGGTGTAATTTAAAGAACTAGAAAACAAAGAACACTATAATCGCCATTTGATTAGGAAACGTCATCTCCTTCCCTGCTAATGACCTTCTAGCCTTTATTATTCATACCCTTACTACCACTCTGCTGGACAGGACAGTTAATGACCTGACAACAAGGTGTTTAGATTGTCTAAGAAATTCCAGCTAGGTTACCCTTGTCTAAGAAACCCCAACTGGTTTAGAAGACTGCATATGGAATGCCCTCCTGATCCACAGGATTTTGGGGATCAAATTGAGGATTTCAGTCCTTCTCTTGTGGGCATTTCATGGCCAAGATGAATATTCAGCTTTTGGGAGCAGGAAGACAGCTTACAGGTATGATAAAGTCTATGGTGCACCTTGGCTCATCTGACACAATTCACCTCTAGTACATAAGGATGTCATTTGCTTGCATGGGGAATGCGAATCTTCCATATCTAGTTTCAGAACTAAAATCAAGTCCCTTGGCTGGACACATCACTACAAATTATACCTTTTTTTTTTTTCTTTTTTAGATAAATGAATTTTTCTTAAAATGTTTTTTAAATTTTTTTTAAAGTTATCTTTACTTAGAATATAGGCTCTAATTAAAGGAATTTTTATTTTGTTTTTCTGGAGACACTTCTTTGAAATTTTGTAATTACTTATATTAAATCACTCAGTCCACAAACATCAATATTTGATTCATTTCAAGGATCAATTCTGGACTGTAAATTTAAGTACTGTTTCAGATTTAAAAATGAAATTATTTGGTTTATCCACCTTCCAATTTGTATCAAACTAAAGGAAGCTGGAAGCATATTATTTATCATTGTAAAACAAAACTAATTGCAAATAAATCCTCAAGTTAGAGGATTTATTAAATGTCAAGCCAGAACATCAATTCACATTTTTGTTTTAAAACCTCTGAAATCTACAGAATTTAATCAGGGAAAAAAACAAAAAAAACAATCCAGAACACATCTCTACCTTCTATACCTTATTTTTCCCTCAGACTGGAAAGGTGAGAGCAAACCTTCCAGGTTAAACTACCACCAACTAATTTCTCAGCTTAAAACCTAGAGTGGAAACTGAATCAAAGTGAATCAACTGAAAATATTTTCTCTTCATCCAGAAAAGTTTGTTTAGAACTTCATAGAAGCACTTGCCCAGAACATTAAGCCAGTGATTTCCTCTATTTCACAACAGCATGATTTTACAAGCTCTGCAGAAAATACATACTGCTTGCATATTTTAAAAATGGATTTAATAAGTTTCAAACAGCTACTTATAATTACACATGCTTATTCTTATTATCTATTTTTCTATCATAAATCAGACAACCATGAATCACTGTCTGCCCTTCCAATTTTCTTTTTCTTCTTTTATTTTTTTATTTTAAACCATTTAACTGTTGCCTGCAGATTGCAGCTTGCAAATGTACCCACTCTCTAAAGGCACATCAGACTACACCTGGCTCTGAGGGCTCCACAGGAGATGCTGCACAGCCTACTCAGTAGAAACAGACTAACACTAACTTACAAGGACTAAACAGCCCGAGTTGTTTAACTGTAGCTGAGAGACACCAGCTACCATGGATCTAGGCTAACAGGCAAATTGCTCAGCAGTCTCAGCATTTATGAGCTTTCTACACATTTATGATGCGTGTAATAAGTGGTACACTCCAAGTGTCTATGTTGAGGAAGTTCTGGATGTGAAGATCTATGCAACACAATCAGTTATGCAGATGTACCCAATAATGACCCAAATACATTTTAAGCGTTATCTCTACTACCGAAATCATGTTATTCCTCCCTACCAAACAACTGCATGTAACCCTCTCTCTTTTTATTATAGCACAGTCATTTAAAGTCACTCTTCTCCCAGTTTCACCAGTTCCATTCTTCCATGCTGTGCATTCACACCACTGCCTTTCCTGCCTATTGGAGGGAGACAACCAAGAATTACTGATACAGTGTTCTGTGAAAAACTGTTATATAATCATACTTGTTTTGGCTGGGACAGAGTTAATTTTCTCCATAGTAGCTAGCATGGTGCTGTGGTTTGGATTTATTCTAGAAACAGTGTTGATAACACAGGGACATTTTCATTACTGTTGAGCAGTACTTACACAGCATCAGGGGCTTTTCTGCTCCTCACCCTACACCACCAGCCAGTAGGCTGGGGGTACACAAGGAGCTGGGATGGGGCACAGCTGGGACAGCTGACCCCAACTGACCCAAGGGATATCCCATAATATACGGCATCATGCTCAGCATATACAGCTGGGAGAAGAAGAAGTTAAGAGGGATATTCAGAGTGACGGTGTTTGTCTTCCCAAGTAACCATTATATGTGATGTAGCCCTGCTTTCCTGGAGATGGCTGAACACCTGCCTGCCCATGGGAAGCAGTGAATGAATTCCTTGTTTTGCTTTGCTTGTGCTCACGGTTTTGCTTTACCCATTGAACTGTTTTTATCTCAACACATGAGTGTTCTCATTTTTGCCCTTGCAATTCTCTCCCACATCCCACTGCAGGAGAACGAGTGGCTGTGTGGGGGTGAGCTGCCAGCTGGGTAAACTACAGCAACAACCAAGCTTACTCTATGAAGTTAACAGATGTATAAACACCTTGTATTCCTTACCAACATCCTTCAAAGTGCATTAATCACTACCATTAAATACAACCTTACTTTCAGTAACAGGCTTTTCCTTAGAAACTTAACTAAAGCACATCATAAAATTACCAGCAGTTACTTAACGGTCACGTGATGGAGCTAACAGGTTCTGATCCTACGACAGGGCAACTAGAATAGTCGTTACCAGCATTGTCCCATCCCTGACAACTACCTTTGGCTCCAATAAGGGAGCGTATTCTATTAAGTTTTAAATTATTCAGTAGAGAAAGTTGTTTGTTATCTATGCATCATAACTTGCAGTCAATACCCCTAATATTAGTATATTATCTACTATTATATACTACCCAGGCCAACTTACAGACAGAGGGCAGTGGAGATCAATTTTAAATCCAGAAAAATACAGAAACAAATGGAAATACATATCATAGACAATTGCTGAACTACTACATAGCTATGGCTGCAGTTAACTGTCAGGAGCTAAATTCTCTGGCTGATCATGCACTCACGTTTTCCCTCCTATGTTCTGAAAGTACAGATCTGCTATTGAAATTATTAGTCCAAGAACTGTCCATTAAAGTTTAAAAGCACAAATTACTTTGGTAGCACATCACACACAATATATTTAAGAGCAAAAATCCACCAAAGATTCACATTTGTAAAGAAAAGCCTGGTTTCTACTAAATACAAGCAAAATGATGAATTCATTTCAATAACACTTTGTGTTTTGAGAAGGAGGTTGTTTGCTTTTTGGCTTGTTTGGGGGTTTTGTGGGTATCTTGTTCTGTGAGCCTGGCTTTGTTTTGGTTTTGGAGTTTGGGTTTGTGGCTGGTTTTTTGGTTTTGTTTTGGGTTTGATTAGGTTTCTTTTAGTTTTTTTGATTGGGGTTTGTTTTTAGGGTTGGGTTTTTTTGGTATTTTTGGTTGGTTAGTGGTTTGTTTTTTTCAAATCATGGTCAATCAAGAGCAAAGAAACAGCATGCCAACTTCAGCAGCTCATCAACCATGGCATCATGGAACTAAACCAAAAATAAATCTCATGTGGCAGTTTCTATAATTGCCACTCATTTTTATTACATGTCAATCTCTAGAGTTGTGCAGTAAACAAAAACATGCAAATGTGATCACTGACATGTTCTACTTTTTTTTTTTCCAATTTGATCTTCAAGGCAATCAGCCAGCACCAGTTTCAAGACTTAACAACAATTCCTCTCCAGAGGCTCATATCCTCAAAAGACTTCACAGAGAATCTGCACCTGAAAGCACACCTTGCAGACTCAGTACAGTTGGGGAATGACACCAGACAACAATCTTGTGCACACAGAGAATCAAAAAAATACACAATCTTAAGGCTGTCTCTATAAAGACATACCCATGCCAGTTAACTTCAGCCAGAAAGAACAAGAATCCCACCAAAAAAAACCCACCACCACCAAAAAAGAAGTTATTTTAATGTGTCACCAGTTTGTTATAATATTCTTTACTTCTTGGTAAGAGGTCATATTACCCAGCACTACAGTCAGTCATCTAAACATAGGCATCTGCTGCCACTGGAGATAAATGTCCTAGGGCAAGCTGCCTTGTCTCAGACTGACATGCAGAAAGGCACAGTTACTCCTATGCCCTGTGTGGTATCTGCCAGGCTCCTGTAGATATCTGGGACAGCCTAGGGCATCTTAAATAGCACTTGTTACCTGTGTTTAAGGAACTGAGTTAAATCCCTAAAGTCTTAAAGGAGGAAGGAGGAGAAGGGGCACAACAAAGCAGGGAGACAATCAATCAAGACCTGAGGTTTCTGGACACCAAATACCAATACATTTCTTTAATTTTACCAGCATTCTCAACAACAAAAGCATTCTGGTTTCCTACACGTGAGTATCCACACTAATTCAAGACTCTTTCAGGCTGAAACCCTTTCAGAATATTTTACATATTGTTATTCCCTAGTAAAGCTGGTTCCTTCTTGTAGAAAACCTGTATGCTGCTTGCAACTGAAAGTTGAGAGACAGCTACAAAACTAATATGTAGATGGCAGCTTAAATCTTCATTGCTCCATTCATGAGCTCTGTGCTAATAAGTAGGATAGTTAAAAGAAACATTAATGATGACTATCTTGCTTAAGGTAATAAAAAAATG